TTGTACTCTTAGTTGTGACTGTTTAAATGTTTTTCTCTGAGATGAAATAATCGTTTATGTCTCTTTGATGTTAAATATCTTTTTCAATCAGAGAAATTTCCTGTTTCTGTTCTTGTGTTTAAATGTGATTCAGTTAACTATATTTTCTATGTACTTGATATTCTAAAACAAAAATTCTCTTGTTAAATATCTAGGTAAAATCCACACGGTGTTAGAGGTTGGAAAGGGGTCGAGTGAGTCATTCCTTTTTCGGTCAGTCCACCGCGCAATTAAAATAAAAATAGAGGAGAGTCGGCCGCAGGTAATTAGGCTTGCTTTTCTATAAGAACAGCGTATGTAGCAACTTTTAAAATATACTCCGTGCCATAAAAAGTAGGCTGTTTTTGTTTTGTATCTAGCAGTTTTATATTCCAATACATTTTTTGTTGAATATTGTTTTTTCTTATATCAAAGCCTCAAAATGAAATGACTTTTAGTTCTGTGTGATGGTCTGTCATGTCATGTCTGTCTTTTTGCCTTTGTTGAAACAAAAAAAACCTTTTTCATACTAAAACTGTAACTTCCATTACTTAAACACAAACTTTTCTTTATATCAAATAAATAAGTTATGTAATCTTATCTTACTTCTTACTAATATTATAAAAGCGAACGTTTGGATGTATGGATAAATGGATATTTGTTACCAGGTATCTCCAGAACGGTTCAACGGATCTCGATGAAATAAGGCACTGATGTAGAAAATAACCTGGAATTACTAAATTTCTTTTAATACATTTGTCATCATGTTTTTTCTAAAATAATAATAATTATTAAAGTACACTTTATTTTTGCAATTCAGTGTACACGGCTCCGTAAGGTTTTTCTCTTATCTTTCGCTTAGTAGCGGTAACGAGGCAAAAGTTTTTCGTATAGTCGGTCTCGTTAAGCTTCGTCTCTAGCGTTTATTTCTACTTTTAACGAATATCGTTCATACTTTTTCGTACTAGTAGTGTACGAAAGTTCATGACGGTTATTAGAGGATGTTATGATCAAAGTTTACACGATATTCATGTTTATTATTCAGTTTAAGCTTTTATATCGTAGTCGGTAAGTATTCTAGTGAAGTAATTTAATGAGATATGTTAACAGATTGTAGATATAGAGACGAGCTTGTTGACAACCAGAACATTTTTATCTTTTACTACTTTATTGTTAATAAGTTACTAAAGGTGACCCATAGTGTAGATATCCCATACTAAATTAAATCTCCACTAAACGCTTTTGTCACCACTTAACTAATTTGTGTGTGATAAAGTATAACGCTTGATCTGGTGTACAGTCAGCTAAATAATTATGTATACATTTACAAAACTTTAGAAACTTTTATAGTATGGCGATATCAAAAATACTTATGACGGTATTCGTCAAAAGTACGTATTTGTGGTCGGAAGCATACGGACCGTTATGATATAGTTTTTTAAAACCACAAGCGTATACAATTTTCAAAAGCTTTGTAAATCTTATATTATAATTGCGAATTTTTGGATGTATGTATGGATAGATCTCGCTGGAATTTGGCATTGATGTAGAACATATGTACTTTGGAAAAACACATAGGCTACTAATTAAGTTTGTTTTAATTCCGCGCTTAAGGAGTTTAGTTAGTGTGTAAATATTTATGCAGCGGACTGTACTATAAAGTATATTAACATGAAGTATTCAATTTTTCAATCGGATCGAAAAATGTGAGCACAAAGAAACTTTTATTACAGTGTAGTCTATTGTGTAGTGCTGTCTGCGAGCCGGCTTACGTTATGTTCTCAGGCGGACAAAGCTGAAAGGAGCTTTTTAATAAAGCTCATATGCTACCGTAAAGTTTCTAATATAGTTAATATTAATTAATTCAGTTTTTGTTTATATAAAATACTTGAGTCCCGAATTTAATGTAGAAAATTGTAAGGTACAAAAAATGTTTTTTATACCAATCTGTTATCAATTTTAATAATATTTTAGTTCCTTATATTCCGCTTTATTATTGCTATCCAAATGTGTTGCAATTAAATTTATATTTCACCACGGTCGCAAACATTTTGTATCGAAGAAATCCATACTATTTTTTTGATAAAAATATTCGAAAGCAAGAAATAATAAAATCCGATACAAGCAAATATGTGACAGTAAATTGTTAAAAGTTTTCGAAGTTTTATCCATTCGATACTAAAGCATTGATCCGTATAAGAGTTGGGTATCGTGCCGCGCTTCCCACGGGAGCGTCGACCTCGCGGACGTTTCCTAGTTCCCATCCAGCTATCGGAAGGACTTTTGAAATCGCTAACGAAAGACAGATTGGACGGCGATTTACCAATGTTGTCGACACATTATTATAAAAAATAATAAATTATAACGAAAACATAACCATAAATAAGTAATAAATGATCCTTTTTAGCTAGCGTAATGAATTTGACTATATTAATAAGTTTTTTGGTGTGGTTATGTATTTTTTAAATTAAAGCAAATACTTATATTGTGATAACAAGTTTGTTCGAATACATTTTTTTTATTTGTCAAAAAGTATTAATCCCGCGGTGATAGCATTTTTATTTTTTATTATTTTAACATTCAATATTTTTTTAATTTTGTGTCGATACATTTATACAATGGAGAATTGCACAATCGTGCTCTCGCCTAACCTCCGCTCCTTTAATCTTCGGCCGTCGACCCAAGTAAGGATGTCCATCGCAGCTGCAGAATGTACAAATTGTTGCTTACTGCCTGTTTCACGCAGCGAGCGCCTGATCAACTTTCGCGGCAACGTTTCGCGGCATGTTTTCGTTTCGGTCCCAACCCGCGTCCATTTGTATCAACGTATGTTCAGTTGAATGCACATTGGATATTCGTACGTTTTTGTACGAGAAATCATTCGTTCTTTTTGTCAGATGTGTAGTATGAAAAATTCAAAAATATTATTTTGCATATCACTTATATGTATTATATATAATTTAACTAGCTGTCGCCCGCGACTCCATCCGCGCGGGAACTATAAATAATAGATACGGAAGAAAAAATACATAGTAGACCTACTCAATATGCTCACAAAATTTCATGACAATCGGTCAAGTCGTTTCGGAGAAGTATGGGAACGAAAATTGTGACACGAGAAGTTTATATATAAGAGGAGAATTTTATATATATAACAAGATAATTGTCAGAAGCATAACAATAGAAATATAGTAAACATTTGAAAGGTAATAAAAACTAACATCATACAAATATCATTAAAACAAATACGATCGAGTGCACAAAAACTAAATTAAAGGTAACAAAGACGTGACACAAACTACGATCAAACAATTCCCCACATGCTCAGTGGAGCGTGAGATTTTCCAGTTACTAATTAGTCTAACTCGTTGAAAAGCAAACGAATCGGCTCCGAGTCGAGTCTAGTTCGGTGTAGTCTAGGCTAGACGCACCTACGTTCACTGCGCTTGTTCAAAGTTTGCTCAAGAACAGCGCGGGTACGGCGCACGTCAATTAAAACCAGGAAATTGAGTTATGCCGAGTTGAGAATTGCGAAGCTTCCCTTTATTCAGTTCCCGGTGAAAAGATAATGGGTGGATCTAGTTGTGGAACCTTTTGAAAATGTTCCGATGACAGTTTCACACTTTGTTTATAAATAACGACACGAAAGTTGTCTTGTACTCTGGGTCTGAATAAAAGGCGATCTAGATGTTTTCAATTGTCGTACGATAAGTTAGTCTATGGATTTTATATCATTTCCTTACATCGGTTGAATATATTGAGCTTACCAATACTATAAATGCGATAGTTTAGACGGATGGATGGATGAATGTTTGTTACCAGTTATCTCCTGAACGACTCAACCGATCTTGATAAAATTTGGCACAGATGTAGAACATAGTCTAGAAAAGCACATAGGTTACTTATCAAGTTTTTTTTTATTCCACGTGGACGGAGTCGCGTGCGACAGCTAGTTTAAAATAAAAGTACAACAGTAGCATCATCTGTGTAACACAGCACTCGTATAATGTCCAAATTTGAATAGTTCTGGTTGAAGTTATTCGAGTCGTAAAGGAAACTAACGTGAATTGCTTCAAATATTTTCGTGAGCTTTTGTCCGGCGCTCGAGCGACCGCGGCGGAATGGCGGCTAATCTCTAACAATTTCATTACGAGAGCTCGGCTTTGTTCTGCACATTTGAAACGTAACGCTTTAGATGTCGACTTAAATACGTTATATCTTTTGTCTACCAGACATGCAAATTATACAAATTACTGTTGCTTTTAATGAACATAGTTATGTTAAGAATTAAATAGATGATCTTTATAAATAAGAGTTTGATTTTATATTTCAAAGGTTTTTACTAAAATAAGTCTAGATTTAAGAAAGATGTACAGCTTTATTTGAAGCTAGTCATCTATCTTCCGGACATCCTAATGTTGAATGTCACAGTGATGGTCATATGTTTGTATAATATTCTTTCCTAAATCTTATCGTTTCCTAGAATCACCAGGGGTCGGAAATATTGCGATATCACCGGATCTATACTGGTAATATCCATTAGAGCACGTCCCCATTCCACCCCGCACTTCGCCGCGCCGTGCGTGACGTAGGAACTATTAATTCCTAACACATTTTGCACGGCGAGCGCACCCGCATCATTGCTACGTGGGGCTCTGATGTTTGCGTAACAAACAAATAATTCTGGTGAAATAATCGAGGATATATTATATTTTTATTAAGAAGTTAAATATCTGATTTCTTTTTCAAGAATGGCACAATAGCACTTATAAGCTTCTCACTCATCAAATTAACTAATGATCTCCTACAGGTTAGACTGGATTTGATTATCTGGAGCTAGATAAATATAAGTATAAAAGCATTGCGTATGCAAACAAATTGGACAAATCTATAAATAAATGCCACACTCATTCATTTAATAATTCATGAAATTCGTTTGGTGTATACCCTTAACTATCTAATATCCCTATCTCTTGTTACAGGGCAAAGCGAAAAGGGACCAGTCATTGGAAGAGCTCCGGGAACACATCCATCGATACTACATGCCTTTGGGCAGGCAGTTTATGGTGCTGTTCCCTGAGGGCGGGTTCCTGCACAAAAGGAGGGAGGTTAGCCAAAGGTAAAGTAGTACTATAGCGAACAATAAAAAATTTTGAATCAGCGGGATGGTAAAGGATACGAAGGTCACATATGCGGTACATGGAGTACGGCATACTGGGGGAATTAGGGAAGACCCGTCTCCAGCAATGGAGTGAGACAGGCTGGTGATGATCATGATACCTTAATTCTAAAATATATTGAAATTAATATCAATGAAAGCAAAATTGAACACTCGACTACACATAAGGGTCGATACGAAACGACCAAAGTCGTTTAACACAAGCTCGAGTCGCTAGAACAAGTTTCAAAGGCGCCCAGTCGAATTTATGTTCGAGGAATCTGGCGTACGAACATATATAGCCATTACTTTGACAAGGCATCGCGAGCTAGATATTGTTTTCTGAAATATTTTCCTTTGGTCTAGAAAACTCTCTAAAATATTTTTGAAGATAAAAATTTTTTATGTTATAAAATGGGACCATAGTTAAGATGGCAAATTTAATTTAATGGAATCCAATTTTTAAACATTTCACTTAACTTGCTTTGATATTTTTTGGCATTTATAACTTATTCAAAATAACGACTGACTTTGTCCGTCAATCAAAGGGAAATTTTCTAATCGATCGTATGATTTATTCGAATGATTTAATTTTAGGTTTGCAGAAAAGAACAATTTACCGAAACTGGAATATGTTTCGTTGCCAAGAGCTGGTGCAATGAAAGTCATAATGGAAGAAATCGGACCTCGTAGAGATGAAGGAGCTAGCACATCCAAAGAGAATTCTAAAAAAGGTACAGTAAATACGAAATACACTAAAAAACAGTTTACGTTAAACGCTTCGTCTTTTTCTTAGATTCTAATCCTCTAGGTATCATTTCAGACAACAACTTTAACCAGAACAACTTAAATAATATAATCGTGGACACAAAAGCTGGTGATAGTATAGAATGGATACTGGACGTGACCATCGCTTATCCTGATAGGATCCCGCTGCATTTGCAAGATATTGTGTGCGGCACCCGCCCGCCCTGTGCCATCAACCTGCATTACAGATTGTACCCAAGTAACGAGGTAAGAACTCCGATTCTCTGTTAACTCTCTCATTTTCCTTTTTATTTCTAAATTCTTTCTCTGTCTTACACCTGATTGTTGCAAATATTCTTTTATACCAAATCTCCATTACCATATACATTTGAAGATAGTCCAATGATACAGAAACAATCTTCAGAGCATCCTTGCTATTTTTAGGAGCTGGTATCCAAAGAAGAATACAGAACCGATGTATGACATAATAGGTTGACACTTCTTTGAAAATTCTTAAAAGTTTTTAATCCTCAGGTTCCAGCCGATACTGAAGGGATGACTCAATGGCTCTATAATAGGTTCATAGAGAAGGACAAAATGTTAGAAGAGTTTTACCGCACTGGTCAGTTCCCAGCGCGGGGGAGCAATTCCCAAGCAGTGCGACAAGTGAGACAGGATAATCTGCGTTATGTTATATTGCATTTATTCTTTATTGCTTCGACGTTCTTACAGTACAATATGTTGCGTGAACTTTGGAGTTACTTATGGTAATAGAGTTAATCTTTAGTGAATTTATATGTGTGATCGTTTGATTCAATTTTTGATGTCATCATGATTCATGATTAGTATTAATAACACCAACTTTTATGGTTACTGGTAAGTTTATAATTCTAAATTAATATATGTGTCTCACAGATTTTAAAGAATGTACTGTTGTGTTTTGACGAGAAATGTTCAATTGCATTTGTATCTTAAATATAAATTAAGTTTATGGAAGTTATTGTTAATAAAAAAATTATGCATTAAATTAATTGACGTCAAAAATTGAATCAATCGTATCTTTATGTCCGCTTTTGCCATTGATGAATATAGATTTTGTGAAATTGATCGCTTTCTTGTGTTAACTTTGATTTATCTAATTTTGATTACATCAGGCAATTTTTCTCTTGGTTTGTTTAATTTTATATAAATATACTAGAAAGCGATTCTCATTTTAAGTGGTGCATTGAGAAAGTACATTTGTTTTACGTTTCATTTAAGTTTCCTCGCATTTTACATTTAGTGAAGATTTTTGTGTACTTCGGTATATTAATGTGTTTCCACTACATTTAAATCTGTACAAAAATAAACTATTCTCTAATTTTTAATGTGAGGTATGTTTTTGTACATGTATCTGTAGTGGAAATTCATGAGATTGTCTCGATGTTTTATGTAGCACTTTCTTATAGTGAGAAGATAAAATGAGTGCTGTGACGTTTAAGTCAATATTTAAGTGAAATTCCTAGGATAAGTTCTTCGCTTTGAGCTATACCAAAACTTGAATCCTTTATGACAATAAACACATTAACGTATAATTCTCACCTTCACGCTTTCATTAAAAATGTTTCGTCTGGACTAAAATACATGCCAAAGAAAATTTTAATAATTTTCAACTTAAAAAAAAGTTCTTTTGAATGTAATCTTCCGGGTTTTCGCTTCAGAAACACTTGTATAATAACATTGAAATCGAATGATATCTTCATAATATTTTTTTTTGTCTGTGTGGTTTTTTAATGGCAATACATCGATTTATTAGTCCAGATAAAAACAGTCCAGTGTGAAAGCTCTCTAATATCGTTTCACTTTAAATTGTTTCTTCGCTTCTAATTAAAAAATACGAATTTATTATAAAGGAGTCTACATACACTCCAGTTATAAAATTTCCAAAGTGTGCGATATTGTACTTTTTGTAAAATTAATGCAAAATTATATTTATAAGTAATAATGAATTTGCAGAGATTTTTATGTACACGTAAAAAATTTTTGTGCACATCAAATTAATAAGAAAATTGTATGAAAAAATCAGTTTAAAATATTTTGCTGGTTTTTTAAGCTACTTAAATATTCATGAGTGTAAAATTCACTTTATTCAAACAAGTAATATTTAGTTTTCTGATATATTTTAATAAAAAAAAATCGTTTATTTAATTTATAAAAAGTAAATTTTTCATAATTTTCTAAATTAGCTCACAGTAGTAACACTTAATTATAGGATATTAGTTTATTTTTATGTGAATTACTGTTTGATAAAGTTAAGTGGAGATTAACGAAATGATTGGTAGTGATATTAGTAAATACTGAATTAAAATTAAACAAATGCTAAACTTTGGACGTTAATTACCATGTCACTTCGTCTGAACGAATCTTGATGACGGTTGTGACGTAGGATTACTTTAGGTTTTCTATTAATTTTCGCGCGTAAAGTCATGAGCAAAAGTTAGTTATTTATATAATATCACTATCAATATAATAAAGCGTGTTGTGAAATCAATAAGTGATATATTTTATTAATTTCTTTATGTTTGAAGCAGACTTACAAAATATTCTTCACTTAATTCGTTTGGTAACTATTAGTTTTATTCGCCTTACCGTGAAATTAAATTAACGCTTGCATTATTAGTATCTCCCTCTATTTCAAAGTGAAAGAAAGGAATGGCAATATTGTAATACTGTTTTTACGATTATGAAGAACCGCCGTTATATTCAAAACTCATGCCAAAATATTGCCGTGAGTACCTAAGGGTCAATTCAGATAGACAAATAAAATTGAACTTTATACAGTTGAAATAAGATTTTAATTTGCACATCTTATCTTAGGAGGAGCAAGCGTGAGAAAGACGCGAAAAGTAAAATCGAACCTTATTCCAATCGTATGAAGTTCAATTTTTGCGTTTCGGCAACGTTATTTTTGTTTATTGGCTTAATCTGTATGTTATATAAATATTGTCCGGTTCTATGTCGCTATGGCCTTATGTATATCGTTAAAATCAACAATGTAATTTCTAGAATAATCAGGATTGTATTTATTTTTTTAAAACATAAATAATATACAGAATCGTACTTAATCTCTCTTCATATCTATTCTAAAAACAAAATGAAGTCATAAGTCAAAATAACGTTGAAATCAATTTGATATTTAATAGTATTTTTTTCCACCATTTTCCAATGACGTGATACTTGGAACACTTATCTCTGTTTTATTTTAAGAGAACGATAAGGACGGCTATATAATTCAAGTCACGACAGTGTAGACTCGCCTTTACATACACAAATTACTCAGACGTAACTAATTTTACTCGTCGTATATTGTTTACAAATCGATTAATTAAAAATAGCTTTATACACTTCTTTACATTAACAAGTTATTTTATAGAAAAATATAAAAATATCAAAACAGTAAATATGTGAATTTTCTTTAATTTTCAACAAATTCGGAGTCCAATTCCATATCCAATTAATAAATGTAATATATATACATTGTGATATTTAATTCCATACATATCAGAAATAAAACGACCCTACTAATAAAACTTTCATTTAAAGAAAGGAAGATCTCTTCTTAACCCATTAGTGTATAACGTTCGATAAATCGGACGCCAATAAAATTGTTATTTTAGGAGTTATATATATATTTTACTAACCGTTTATTTTTTAAACAGTAGTGTAATATATATTTGAAATGGTAATACTGTTGGTATGACATTCCGGGAAGCGATTTATCGGACGGACTATAAAATCTAAACTTTCATATTGATTGATTTTATACAATTTAATGGTCAAATACACTCGAAATGAAAATATTAGTGATAATAATGAAAAAGGCGTTAATAAACTTTATGCGCTAATGGGTTAATATAAATATTACAAAAGCGTTCATAACATAATCCTTTGAAAACTCTTACAATATTAAATCTAATAGATATAAAATAAACCGCTTTACGAAACTTATGTCTTACAAATTCTTATGAATATTTAAATCCATCAAAACTACATGTTCCTTTTTATATCCAAGCGTGCCTTTTAAAATTTAAAAGCAAAGATTTATAACCATTTCTGATAATAACATTAATAAACTTAAATGAAATTTTATCACAGATTTGGTCAGTAAAATTAATTGAGTCGTCAAATTTGATTTAATATTATAATTTTATTTCCCTAATAACTAAGACGTAAAAGTGCGACAGATGGCTAATGAAAAGAATGTCTAGTGAAATCGCACCTTTACGTTTATTGTGTTAGGAATCCGACACTGTGCCGGTGTACTGGCGCAACACTAGCTTTACTAAAATTTACGTTTATGTCCCCTCACTATTCATTGGCACTTGACCTTGTAATGAAAGCGAGCCATTCGCGCCAAAGGATTCTAACTAATGATGTCAAAAAAATTGAAACTATATAAAACAATTTAAGGGTCATAATTTCTTTGATTTACGGTAAAGCGTAAAATTTTTATGTATAAAACAATTTTAGGTTAGCTTTCTTATACGACGAAAAAATTATAATACCTCTTTTTCAATCAGTAGATTGTATAAGTCAATTTTGATCCTCAATTAATTTTACACAAGTATTTATCATTTGACACAAAACCGTCCTCATTCTATTAAGACAAACAAGTGGCCATATTTTTAGTAATATATCAAAAATATATTTTATTTTAAAATGTTTCACTACAGCACCGTTCACATCACAGTAAGATTACATTTCAGTGTATAAATTAAGTTTACTGAACCACTTAAGAGTTCTTACGCATTATACGATTAGAACGCGATGTGCCATTCGGTCAACAATATGGATGAAAAGAACAGTTTTCTTTCTCACTAAGAAGTGACCCTCTCTTCTCACTTCTAGCACTGGTTAGATTTCAAATACTTAATAGTAAGCGCAAAACTCGTATGTTTCGCTTAACCTCACAAAGCGTTAATCTCCTTACAATAATGTTAATGTACAGTCGCGGAAATCCGCGGTGTTCCACTTTCTAAAAAATTTACTTTGTTTTTTTCAACAAGACAAACTCCGCCCTTTATAAAAATAGGCAACTAAGTAAACGCAATTAGTCGAGTACCATTGACCGAGCTTTTTTTGTGCGGACACATTAAAAATCTGCGTCGCGTATTACATTTCCTTACCAGTATGGTTTTTTGCATTTATATGTAAACGTTATAGTATTCAATTTGAAATAATTTTGCCATTAATGATTATTACTATTTGTTGAACAGACAATACTAACAAATGTTATTAAACAGTAAATACATAACAAAACGCCTACACTATAAATACTTTTCACTCGACAAACAAATCAAAACATGTGCATTAAGACATTTTAAAAACATTAACAATTCCGCCTCTCACACCGATACGTAATTTTGGATTTGGTTTAAACAGCATAGTAAAATTTACTATTGAATAGTTGACGTTATTTTCATAAAGACTATGGAAATTAATTACAACATTGGCTGTGTTCGAATTTTCATCTTATTTTTCATAAATTTTCTTAATTTACTGTTACGTTTCGGTGTAATGGACGGTCTAGCTTTTAGCAAGTGAATAGTGGTAGACGATTTAATGAAATTTGATTTTAATTATGGGATTATTATGTTCGCTGTAAACATTTTGTTTCGTACTTTTTTCTTTTATATTTTTTTCTTCGGGTGTTTAATTTTAAGTTCTTAATATAGATAAAAGGGATTCGTGATTATTTTTAAGTTCAATGTTGTTGATTTTTTTTCTCCTCTTTTTGTTCGTAGTTAAGTTTGTAATTTTTTTTTGTAGATATTAATTTAGTGATAGTTTATGAATTATGTGATTCTGTCGATGTGAATTTTTTATTTGCGTTACATGATATTTGTGTTAAAGCTATTTAAGAGTTGCTTGCAAAAATGATAGCATTTTTTGCTATCTACTACAT